TACAAGGTATTTCAGATTTGCCTTTGTTATTTGTACTTTTTTTGTATATTATCTTCATCTGTATTCAACTTATTTACTTTCTAAATTCTCCATGCAGATTTATTGTGAAATTAGCACATTTTCTTTGTCATGTGACAAGTAATAATGATTTTTCCTCTCTTGCACTAAATTGCTATGGTTGGATGATTTACAAAATTATATTTAGCCGCTGTATCTTACTGTACAGTCATAGTGTTTTTATATACCCCCCCCCCAAAAAATCACAATATTTTTAAACAACCAACATAAAGTATATTTGAAGAAGGATATGGAGATAACGAACAGTATTTAATATCAAAGTCCATAAAACAATACAAAATAGGAGCAGAGCAAACACGGACCTCCGAAACATCAGAGGTGGGATCAGGTGCCAAGGAAGAGTGAGCATCCCCTGCCGACCGGTCACACCCGCCGTGTGCTCGTTGTCATGATCAGGAAATAACGGGAAAAAATCCGTTGTCAATTCAGTGTATAAATAATGGACTAACAATTGGTATGAAAAACGTCAGTCAGCATTTGACTCAATGATAAACTGTGTTTGCTGACAAGGTCATTGTATCGACCATAGATCTTATACGAAATGATGACTTTAAACGAGACGGCTGATATTCCTGTTTAATGAACTTGCTTGTCAATAATTTACCTCGTTTAAGAAATTGTTCACCATAGAGCATGCTCTTGCGTATCGAATCAACTGAGATATATATAATCCATATGCAGGTACCTTTCATTCAAGTTTTCAATCGTTTGAAAATGTGGTCATTATTCTTTCTTCTCCAATACATGGTAAAATTGAAGTAAATTCCTCTTCTTCTGTGCATTTATAGAATCATTGATGATTTATACATTGTATCCCATATGCGACACTGACATTACTCCTTATGAGCATATTTTTCCAATGCATGGTTCAATTTAAATAAATTCCTCTTCTACTTTGTATCGATAGAATCATTTATGAGTTATACATGTACATCGTGATTGTAACTGATTACGATATAACAAATGCAATACTGACCTGTTTTTACAAAAAAAAATGAAGAAAATAATATTTCAAAAAAAATCGTTAAAAGTTAGAATTGGTTGATACCCACCAAAAGTAAAGTTCGTGCTGTTAGTAATAATGCTCCACTAAGACGATTTCTCGGTCTCTTCATCAATCAAACCCTCTCCATTGTGAAAGAAAACGGATATGTCACAGCTGATTTGAGAATATATATTGTTATCAGAGGAGAGAACATTTACCTCAAAGAACCGCACCGTTACAAGATTTGTTCTCTCAAAACCCGTCTGAAATTGATCAGAAACATAATGATACCAGTGATTTAGAAGAAAATTGATTCACTGAACCTTTTAAAAATTGTTTTTACACTTTAATATTTTGTGTTTATATTGATTACATATTGAAATGTCAATTACGAATAAATGTTAGTTAATTAGATATTATTGTTGTGATTCCAAGTAGACTTCTATTACACAAATTATTTTGGTGAAAGTTACTTATCAATAGTGTATTTTATTAATATACTATTTTGGAAATTGATTCAGCTTTCATTGATTTTGATGTACGTGATTCCTCCCATTCTCTCTCTCATTCTTTCTCTCTCTCTCTCATACGTTCCTGATTTGTATCTTTTAAATAAAAGTTTGATCGTTATAACTTTACGTTATCTTAATATTTCATATATGAGAAAATTCCCTTTAATAAGAAATTAGTTTAAAATATAATTTTCCAAACTGCAACATAAAGATTTACTTACATTTCTACGAGGAACCTTTTTGGCTGTTCCTTTTTTCCGATAAAAGATGGTCTCTTCAACACTGCAGTACTCTTCATGTATGTCGAAGTTCTCGTAGTCTTGATGGTTTTCAGAGTCATTCATGAACATGCTCACGACTTCATAATACCCGGGCGGTAATGTCAGGGTTATCCTAACAGTTGTCATCATACCTACATAAAGCTCAGTTATGTTTCCTATGGTATGTGCATCCAGTGCTGGATAGCTGGGCATGGAACTGCCTACAAAAAATAAACATAAAGCTCTGTTATGTTTCCTATGGTATGAGCATCCAGTGCTGAGTACGTTTAAGTTTCCTCAACGTATTTATCATGTATTTTTATCACGTATATTCTTAACTTGCAGTAAAAAAAAAACGAGTATTATAATGTTTTAAACAAATAAAGACGAAAATATGGTTGCTTACTCTGTTATTATAAAAACACAGCAACATTAAAAAAAAAAAAAAAAAACACCATTGGTCAGAGATTGCTGAAGTTCAAAATAACTCAGAGAGATCTATTGCTGACAAAAAGATTTCAGAACAAGTTCCATAACAGATACTGAAGAAAATCTGTCTTAAAGAAAGTAGATCATAAAACTTATTATATTACAGAAGATATCAAAGTCCATAAAACAATACAAAATAGGAGCAGAGCAAACACGGACCTCTAAAACATTACGAGGTGGGATCAGGTACCATGAAGGAGTAAGCATTCCCTGCTCACCGGTCACACCCGCCATGTGCTCCTTGTCATGATCAGGAAATAACGGAAAAATCCGTCGTTAATTCAGTGTATAAATAATGAACTAACAATTGGTATGAAAAACGTCAGTCGGCATTTGACTCAATGATAAACTGTAAATTGAAGCACATGTGAAATTATCTCGTTACCAACGTTAGTCGTTTAATCCCTAAGACATTTAAAAAGCGAATTCACGAGAAACATATTGTACTGTCTTTTATTTGTTCATGAATTCCTTACACTAAATTTAACAATGAAAACCCTCGATATAACAAATTTGTGTTCTAAATGAGTGATAAGTGTCAGCTGAAAAATATATTTTCTGCCTATAATATATTATCATTATTTTCAAAATAAAAAAAGTTAATATAGCGATTGTAAAATTTCCTGCACTTAATTCTTAATTGTTTAGAATGATGCCAAATTTTACTCATGTATTGTTAGAATTTATTTCATGTTTTTACTATTTTTCATATATTAAATAATACTTTTTTTTCGTAAATATTATGTAACCTTACGTGAGTCCATGGTTTTCCTGACTCAAAAATAAAATCGCTGATGTCAGATGCCTTAATAATAATTAATCAACTAACAAGATAGGCGAAGGGAAAAAAATTACAACGAATGTCAGTGAACGTCAAAATGTTTATATTCGCCACCAGTTCAAATTAAAGAATCACATCAAAGAAACTTACAGTCTGCAATATCCTTTATTATGTATAATTGCGCGTTTTTAAGTTTATATGCATGCTTTTTAATTATAATGTTATAAATGTCATAGAGGTTTTAATTTTAAAAAAATGAAATCAACATACCCATATCCAGTATACAGCTGTATCTTAAAAAAAGAAAACGCAGTATCATATGCATATCTGTCCTCTTTTAAAAAAGACATGCATTTTAATGTTTGAAATACATTTAAAAAAAATAGAATTGACACAGTCGACTTGTATTATAGGAAATGGAATTAAAAAAAGACAATATAGGATTTAATTGTATTTTATTGATTTTGATTATTTTTTGTATTCATCTTGAAATTATCAAAACTAATTCATTGAATTATTTATAATCATATTTTACTTGATACCGTGTATGAAATATTTGTAAGTCTTTCTTAGTGCATACACTGTAAGTGCACAGAAGTCGAAGATGGAATTTTTAAACTTCTGAGGATAAGTTTGTTAATGATTGACGGTCTTCATAGCCAAAGTCAAAAATACACGTAGTTGTTAACAACTGTTGCTTCGTTGATCACTTGTCACATAGAAAGACAAAATTCCTGGCTTTGTCAAGACCAAAAGCCGAGGTCTCTGTCCTTGCAACCATTAGAACAATAAATAATATCGAGTCCAATCTCAAATTAAAATTAAAAACCCTTCACATGTCTTCAGTAGGGTCTAAGGAATTATATATTCCCTGAAGGTAAAACAATACACGGAATTTATGCCTTTCCTCCCATTTATGTACGAAATGCAATGTTATATATTACATAATAGTAGATTACAATAGTTAAGGAAGGGGAATTTATTATTACTTTTGAAGTATCATTTCTCTTTCAAAGAAAATGGTAACAAAACAGAGTTTGTTTCATTTGGAAATGTTGATCTTCTTACCACTTCTGTTATTAATTGGGATGGCGGATAGTCGCCATTTTCTGTTTGACACAGCAGACGATATGTAAGATATTTAAAGCAAGTTTTATCTTATAGTTTATTTACACATCTCTTTTCTTTTGAAGGACATAAAGACACCTTGTACGTTTGACATGTCGGAATTGAATGTGAGATAAATTATATACTGTAAATGTATTACATTTGGCGTGTACGATATTTGGCGGAAATTCAATTTTCAGCAAGTTAGCGTAGATTTGATTTAGCGCTGTCTGAATTTGCTGGTAACAAATGTTAATATACAAGACATTTAGCGATGTACTTGAATTAGTGGTCTCTGCTTTCCTCCAAAATCGCTAAATAGAATACGCTGCGAATGTAATACGTTTACAGTATAAGAAACAAATGAAAACTGTCAATTGTATAAACATATATAAAATTCTTATCATTCTCGCTGAAGTCCCACAGAATATGGCCAGGGCTACTGTGATAGCATCGGGTATTATAATTTGCTGAACACCCTAAATTAAAAGGTTCAAATCGTGTTTGTAGAGGTGACATACTTAAGAGTGAAAAACATATATCTACAGACTATCTATTACGTAATTTTTTTCCCTCTTCAATTCAGATGAAGCTGAAAATTTCTTTAATCTCTAGAAGGCTTTTTTTCTTCATTACAAAAATTTGCGCGTCTTCTATAACTTTCTATTAGATAGTGCCTGTTGCTTTAAGGATAAGGAAATATTGTATCGATGGAAATGTAGAATGCATATTTATAAACCGAAAATATAGATAATGTGCTCTATTTAATCCAGACAGACAAAGAAATTCTGTGTTATCCTTGATATTCACTATGAGGGTTTTTCTTACGATTGTACTTTTTGTCATCGGATTACACGGTAGGTAAAAACATAATTGTATTAAATATGTCCAATTTATTTGTAAGTTGGTTTTTATTTTTTAATAGTAACTCAAAACAATTAAAAAAAATAACAACAAACAAACAGACAGACAGACAAAAGAAACAAAAGAAACAAGAAAGCGGGTGTTTTGAAATGAAAGAAGCTTTTGTAAATATATTTTTATTTATGAGAACCGTTATAATCAACATTTCATTTTTGTTCTTACTTAAGATCTTTTCTAAATTGATTCTTAAAAAAAATGGTTTAAATTATTTAAAATGTGCTATTTCTTTACAGAAATGTCTATCAAGACAGAATAAATAGTTACATGTAGTATTTTCACTATCTGGTCTCATGATAAGGTCTTAAATCCAAAAGGAATATAACACTTTGATTGTCACTCCTTTGAACAATATTCAGTAGAATAATATCTCAGAAATGGGTCTTTTGTTAAAAAAAATCGTTTCCAAAAATCGAATTTCTATAGTTACATATATGACAGATTTCCAATAGGAAAGGGTTAAAAAAAGAAAATATATATATAATTGTATGTAAATAATTATTTAATATTCAATATTGGGCAAAATGTGAATGAAATTATTGTTAAATATAAAAATGTCAGCAAAAAAAAAAACATATTGATTTATAGAATCGGGATAAATTGTACAATGTATTCCCTAATTTAAATATTAGACCAAACTTTGCTGTTTAGATTCCTGTAACTTCAATATGATTTTGAGTTCTGCTATGACCTCATTTTGATTCTAGTCGTTTGACCCCAATCTGATATCTAGTTGGCCTGCGACCTTATGATTTTATCTGCCTGATTTTTGGAATTTTGATTGTTTTGTTTTTTGTAAACGAGGTATTGTGTGTACAATTTTTCATTATCTGGTCTCATGATAAGGTGTAAAATCTCAAAAGGAAAATAATACCTTGATTGTCACTCCTTTTAACAATATTCAGAAGAATTATATCTCAGAAATGGGTTTTCTGTTTAAAAAAAACATTGATTTGCAAAAATCGAATTTCTATAGTTATGACAGTTTTCCAATAGGAAAGGGTAAAAAAATATTTATAATTGTATGTAAATAATTATTTAATATTCAATATTAGTCAAAATTTGAAAGAAATTATTGTTAAATATAAAAATGTCAAAAAAACATATTGATTGATAGAATCGGGATGAATTGTGTCCCCTAATTTAAATCAAAGTACTCATAAGTACAGAGAGCCGGGCTCATTTACAGATCGAGTAGAATGGATTTCTTACATGAATCACGTTTATATTCTTATGAAAAAAATATTTTAAAACTATCAATATAAATGATAAGACACTGCGAGTGAGTTTTTCAATCCTAATACCACGGTCCGATTTTGTCAGAATCAGAATTAATCTGGTACCGCATGCAGCTGAATGTAAACAAACAGGCCAGTCTGGTTCCCTCTCCTGCTTTACCTCGTATGTGTAGAGAACTACGGTAACACTGATTATCAAAAATCCTTACGCTAATGAACTATGTTCTTTGACTTATGAAGTTTTCAAAGTCATTACTACTAATATTTATGTTATATAGATAAAACTTCGTTTTATTTCTGTTGCTTTATTTAGCGTTTGTATTACCTCAAAAGCGGTTGAGAGTAAGAACTATACTTTTGCACGTTACTTTAAAATGGCGACTATGGGGTCAACATCCTGCCTTGAACAGGATCACATAAGCCGGCAATTGCTCTTTGAGCAATAAGCCCGGCTAAAAATCGGGATGAATTGTATCCCCTAATTTAAATATTAGACCAAACTTTGCTATTTGGTAACTTCAATATGATTTTGAGTTCTACTATGACCTCATTTTGATTCTAGGTGTTTTGACCCCAGTGTGATATCTAGTTGGTCTGCCTGATTTTTGGAATTTTGATTGTTTTGTTTTTTTTTTGTAAGCGAGATATTGTGTGTACAAATTTTTGTTCCCCATCATCATGATCATCATGTCACGGTGTCACAAAAGATTGATACATCGAGGGAGTTTATTTCATATGCATTCATACGGGAAATGAAGAATCATTTTGATATACTTTCAGGAAGTATATGTATATAAATAAAATGTGCATGCCTTTGGTATCAAAATAATAGTATTTAAGCAATGAAAATGATAAAACAAAGTTTGTTTTAGTAAGTAATAAAGACTTCGAATAAAATTTGATTGAATCAGGAATGCTGAGAACTACAGTTTCCTTTCTTAGAATCTGAAAATAATTATGAGGGAACCTGTAAAATTAAAACCTTCATATAACATGATACAATACGATAGATATTGAATAAAATATAGCGATGTATCATGATCATTTTCCCTCACGTTACTAGGCCCTTACAAAGATCTAATTATGTGATTATAGGTGTCAGTAGTGGTACCACGTGTCAGAATGGGTGGACGGGATACAACTCAAGGTGTTACCTGTTTGTCATGCATATGTCTGCGGACTGGAACGAAGCATCGGTAAGCACATTTTTGGAGGACAAAAGTTTTGTTCATCAATTAATTAATCAATGCGTATGCAGGAGATATAGGCTAAGAAGTATTGAAAACGTTTTCCACCGGCTTCTTTGAAATTCTGATCAATGAGAACAAAACATATTTAGATTAGCAAATTATACCGGATTTTGTTTTCTTCATTTTTTTCGAAACCCTTTGAAGAAAACTAAATTCAATTCTTCCTTTACTTTGACAAAGTTTTCTAATTATGCTATCTAAAATCCATTAGAAAAGATATAACCACGATATTCTTCAGATAGTGGTGCTTTATTTTATGTTGAAGTTTGTTCATCACAATGTTTGATACAGAAATAAGGGATGTTTTCGCTATTTTGCTTTGAATTTTTTTTCTTATTTATTATCAGAACTTTTTAAAACATGTACAATGGACCTTCAGATTTTGACAAAACCTTTTCAAACTTCGTTTAAAAAATCTTGAATAAAGAAGAGTTATCTGACGATTTTTAAGTATATCACAACAAATAACAGCATACTAAAGACAGTATGCATTTTTGATGAGAGAGAATTACTCTGCTCGGCGTTTAGATTAACTAAAAATGGTTCACAAATCACTAAAAATGGTTCACAAATCACTACAATCGGTTCACAAATCACTAGAAACTGTTCACGTATCACTAAAAACTGTTCACAAATCACTAAAAACTGTTCACAAATTTCATAACGTCACATTCTATTTCCTTTTTCGCATAGAGCTTTATTGTATAAAATACTATTTATTTGATAAACTATTTTCTGAATAGAAATTGTTCTAGTTCATTTAAAAAGAATTTAATTTCAATGCATATGAAATTCAATGCATTCATATTTATTAGACTTTTTTTCACTTTATTCTTCGAGCAATTTTGTCACACACAAAACTCCAGACTGGCGGAAATCGACAACTCAAGAGAAGATAACTTCCTGATCCAGCATCTCAGAGACTATGGACGGCATGGTAACAAATGTTAATATTAATTAACAAAGCTATAATAGAGAAATATTCCTTTATGATAGAATAAGATTGATTTTGACATCTCTTACTAAACTGTCCGTATAATTTTCCTTAAGGATGACGTTTACTCAGGTTTCAGAATCAGAAAGGAAATTTTATAATGTATAATATGTTAAAATTAATAAAAATTTGTTCTAAATGGATAAGATAACTAAGTTTTATCTGAATATCAATTAAAATTTAATATGTTAGTACATGGAGAAAATATACAGCAACAAAACTCAGTGTATGGCTATTCAGAGGAAATTCGAACTAAATTTTTTAATTTTTTCATTTTTGTCAAAATTTTTATTTCTTGCAATATTAATCACAAAGTAATGGTTACATGTATTTGAAGACATCATTTTGCAAATATTATATGTGTTTAAGCTCATAAATTATTTCAAATAAACGAATGCATTGAAATAAAGAAAATTTAAAATATGTACAAAAACCACTCCAGACAACATTTCTCTATAATTTGATCATTGACCCCATATAATATTAATACCATGAGTTAATAAGTTAGAGTTCTTATCATTCAGATTTTTGTAATATGTGATTAAAAATAGGGAAAGAATATAAAAATGACAGAGGAAATTCAGACTGTAATAATTATCCCGTTTATGCTCAAAATTATTTCTTATATGAAGCAACTCTGTTCCATTGCTATAATATTTCATTATTAGAGTTTTCTTGCTAGTGATATTTTGTGAGTGAAGAAAAAAAATGGTCATAGTGTGAAAAATTGCAGTATTTCCAGAGAAATACTCAGGGTCCACTAGCATTAAAATGAGGTCATTGACCTAGTTATTTGAAATTGAAATTTAACAAAAAAATCATAGGTGTACAATGAGCAATAGGTGGTTTTTCGTTCTTATCAGTGGAAGTTTTAGTCATCTGAGTAAAGTTATACCTTAACATTCTCTTTTTCTTAGTATCTAAAATCCTTAGTCAAATAAAAAAAGTTATGATTGTTTTTTTCTCTTCACCTTCCCGTTAGTAACGCAACTTATGTGTAATTAAGTGGATCAATTATCTTTTTTCCCAAACAATGCTCCGAACAAAGATAGTTTAAGATAGTCTCGTGTATCCCTAGGCTTCCATCTATTCTGTCATTCAATCTTTGCAAATTTACTTTTAATCTTAAATTATAAATTACTGATGATTAAACAATTGCTTAGAATGGTTGACTTTGTATTCAGATATCTCACTTACAATGTATACTTTAAAAGATACACGAGGAACCCTATAGAATCCATAATCAAAAGAAGAAATATTTAAAATACCACCATGTTGTGCAACTAACAAATGATTTTGAAAGTTTATCGGTTATCTTATGTATTAATTATCTGTGAACAGCTAACTTCTGGGTGGGCGGAACTGACGTCATAATAGAAGGAGACTGGATATGGGCTTTATCGCAGACTCCAGTAATTCATTACACACATTGGGGCCAGGGACAGCCAAATGACCATCATTCTGCCCAAAACTGCATGGAAATGTCTGCGGTTATTCATTATCTATGGAACGATGCAGCATGTTCTCTTAGACAATATTTCATTTGTGAGCAACCGTAAGTATTTGTATATTAAGAAAACCGAAGAAACGAAATTTCATATCTATTAAACGTAAGCAGAACATATAGACACTTTTAATATACCAGTATTGCCAATCTCACAAAAAAACATTAACAGCATGTATGGGCTTTAAATTCATTGAGTACATGTACTTCAATTTATTTGAGATTGAAAGTTCTTTCTATTCTGGGTCTAAATCAAGACAATACATTATTGAAGGTGAAGTAAAGTTAATTGAAATCCATTGAAACATACCCAAATATCAATTAGCATTCAATTCTGAAGTTTCCAAATGTCATTAAAAGGGACAGAGTAGAGATCGAATGTGAAACACCGTGTACCCTAATCATTAGCTACATTGGTGCAATATGTCCACAAAGTAATGGGATACTGGGTCTCAGTTACATGTAAAAGCCATCAACTGTGAACAGAAATGTAGAAAAGGCATCCTTTTAAAAATGTTTTTGACGATAAAATTGAACCAGTTCTGACGCTAAGCAAAATATTCGTTAGAAGAATTGATTTTCACAATTTTAACAAATTCACGCATTTCTTGAATTATTAAAAGACTGCTGTTTAATATACTCCCTGTATGAAATACAATGTAATTTAATGAATTATTACAGCAATTCTGTTTCTTTATATGAACTTTATAAAAATGCATAAAATATATAGAGATAACGAATAAATATCAAGCTCAAAAGTTCATAAAACAATACAAAAAGCAGAACTAACAAGGACCTTTCAAAACCCAGAGCTGGGATCAAGTGCTATGGAAGAGTGAGTATCCATGCATTATAATTAACACTGCAATTTTACAAAAACGTTCACAAATACTATTGAATCATAAACACTATATTTGTTTTACATATACGTATATACTGTATAAATAATTCACGTTGAGATGATTTCTAAAATACACAGCTGTTATTTTTTGATTTCAGAAGTGCATCTGGTCCAGTCGTCGGATGATTCACTGATATGGATTTAAAGGATTTTCAAGTCAATAAAAAAGGGAAAAAATCTTGTTATTATCTTCTTTAAAAACACAAGTGTCAAGGTTACTTGGTTAGACTTGTTGTATCTCTCTCTGCCACTCTCTCTCTCTCTCTCTCTCTCTCTCTCTCTCTCTCTCTCTCTCTCTCTCTCTCTCTCTCTCTCTCTCTCTCTCTCTCTCTCTCTAGATATCTGTCTGTCTGTCTGTCTTTCTGTTTCTGTCTGTGTAGATGTCTGTCTAACTGTGTAGCTTTCTGTCTGTCTGTGAGTTTTTTGTCCCTTGTTTTCGCCGTCATTGTCAACAATATCTTCTTCTCCAAAACTCCTGGGCCATCCCTAACAAAAATACTATAGTTAACTATAGATTACTATAGTTAACTATAGTAGTAACTTTGACACTTTAAAAATCTTTGGCGAAAACTTTGACACTTTGAAAAACTTTGGCGAAAACTTTGATACTTTAAAAAGAACTTTAGCGAAAACTTTGATACTTTGAAAAACTTTGGCGATAACTTTGACACTTTGAAAAACTTTGGCGAAAACTTTGACACTTTGAAAATCTTTATTGAAAACCTGGATACTTTAAAAACTTCATCTAAAATTTTGACACTTTGAAAAACTTTATCGAAAACTTTGACACTTTGAAAATCTTTGGCGAAAACTTTGACACTTCGAAAAGCTTTGGCAAAAAATTTGCAACTTGGAAAATCTTTATTGAAATCCTGGATACTTTAAAAACTTCATCTAAAATTTTGACACTTTGAAAAACTTTATCGAAAACTTTGACACTTTGAAAAACTTTGGCGAGAACTTTGACACTTTAGAAAACTTTGGCGAAAACTTTGACACTTTAAAAAAAACTTTAGCGAAAACTTTGATACTTAAAAAAACTTTGGCGAAAACTTTGATACTTTGAAAAACTTTGGCGAAAACTTTGACACTTTGAAAAGCTTTGGCAAAAACTTTGACACTTTGAAAATCTTTATTGAAAACCTGGATACTTTAAAAACTTCATCTAAAATTTTGACACTTTGAAAAACTTTATCGAAAACTTTGATACTTTAAAAAACTTTGGCGAAAACTTTGACACTTTGATTTACTATAGATAACTATAGTAAACTATAGTGAACTATAGTATTTTTTGTTAGGAATTATCAACCAATCAAGAGTATCCTTGTGTGGACGGAACTCAACGTTTTTCAAATGAAAGGCAACGTCCTCCTAAAATGGAGAGACGATTAAGAAAGCAAAAACATGGCATCATTAAAATTTCCCAAGACTCCCTGTGCATGGAAAGAGGAACATCGTGTGGAATCAGGTAGTGGAGATTCAGGTTTGTTGGAATCATTACGTTAGTTGTAGGTCACAATGGACAGCCAAGGTTTTAAATAGGATTATATATAAGAAATCTATAAAAATGTTCAAGAACAGCAAAGGAGTAATCCGTCAAAGTTATGTGTAAGCATCCTCAGGTAATGTAAATTCAAGTTTGTTCAAATCATGACCCATGGAGTATGATGGAACCACATTGGACAATCAAAATACTTTGAAATGTATAAAAGAGACATCTTTCAAAAATCTTCTTAAGAACAGTGAAACAACGATGGTTATTTTAATGTGACAGAATATGTAGATGGCAAAAATTTAATTTCTTCAAATGATGACCCCCCAATGGTGTGGTTGTTTTTCAACGAATGGTCAAAGCTAAATACATGTATTGTAATTTTAAAAGATTTAACAGGATAATAAGATATTTTATAGGATTATATAGAAAATATCTTTTAAAGATCTTAATCTCAGTAATACTATGTTTGATGGCTTTAATCTGAACTGCAAATCTTCTAATATTGTTTATGGAATAAAATGTAGTCTTTCTTGATTTATTTTGCTGAAATCAAGAGGTACTTAGTAACCAATATCAGACAGGAATATTAAATAAAAAATGGAGGTAAGCAAACTTTAAACAATAATTTTAATTTACCTGAGCATTCTATCTTCCCAAAATAAAAGAGGGAAACATATGAAGATAACACGCACATTCAAAACATCAGAGGTGGAATCAGGTTTCATGGAGGAGTGAGTGAGCATCTAGTCAATAATAATGAAATAAAAGATATCATAGAGTCTGACACATCTCTTTCATATTGCAATATTTTACCATAAAAAAGTTGTTTATGAAATTTAACAGCCATACTCTATGACAACGTGATGACTTTAAATTTTCTATTGTCATTTTCCATTACTTACCCAGCTATATACCTTTGTCGCCTTCATATGGAGCTTATATATCTCAGTTGATTTGATACGCAAAAATAAGCTCTGCGTATGAACAATTTCTAAAACGAGTTGAATTAATTACAAAAAAAAGATGAAACAAGAAATCTGCAGTCTCGTTCAAAGTCATCATTCCGTAAGTACTATGGTTGATACTATCCTTGTCAGCAAATACAGTTTATCACTGAGACTAATTCTGTCTGACGTTTTCCATACTAATTGTTAGCCAATAACTGAATTAGCATTATGCAATGAATTGACGAAGGATTTCACCGTTATTCCCCGATCGTGACAAGTAGCACACGTTGTGTGTGACAGGTTGGTAGGGGATCCTCACTTTTCCATGGCACCTGTTCCCACCTCTGATATTTTGGAGGTCTGTGTCTGCTCCTGTTTTGTATTGTTTTATGGACTTTTGATCTTGGAAACTGTTCGTTATCTCTGTATGTTTCTCCTAGACACAATGCTCATTTAGGTGATCTGTCCCTGTGGTCCTCTTGTTTCTTCTAAATGTATTT